TCCGTCTCAGCGACGCTCACCAACGACGCCGCCTGAGGGACCCGAACCCTAGACCGTCAGCATCGAACTTATGCACCCAATCTCTAGACCATTTAGACAGCATGTGTGACTCAAGATGGTTCAAAACACTGCGTCACCATCCACTCAAGGGTCAATGAACATGTGCCTAGATGGCTTCAAAACCAATGTGTGTCAAATCATCCTATCAATGTAGGAGGTAGAAAACCAATTTCATCGATAGCGAAACATATAATTGAGACGGGGCACAAAATTGACATTAATACAGCATTTAGAACGTTGTATAGAAATTGTCAAGGTCGAATTCTTAAGTTTATTGAAGCCTTAGCTATTCATAAATTTAAACCCCCCCTTATGTGTACAAAAACAATTTGTCGTAACCTTGAATTTACCTTGGTAATCCTTAAGTCATTCTATGGCCTAGGATAACGCGACAATTTCTTATTCTTTCTCTCTCCTTAGTTATTTTAATTGAACTTTTATTTGTTTGACCTTTATTAATTTTCATATAAAAATGCCCTGACAAGTATATGTGTGACCAGATTGTTCGAAATGTATAGCGCTAATACATCACATTTTTCAGATCAACTCCGTCTTCTTATTGTTCTATCGAAATTTATAAAAGGGACTAATTGCTTTAAATTCTTCATAAATCCTTAGAGATGAACCAGAAAAACTCCATGTTACAAATGTACCACAACGTGTTTACAAAATTTACGAAAGTAAAGCATTACTAACCCTCGAATCTGGAGCTATCTCCATTTTTAGACCTAATAGAACTATGCATAATGCTGCCCTTCCAGAAGTTGAGCGGGAACTAGAACGGCTACAGAAAATGAATGTTATTGAACTTGTGAACTTCTCAGTTTGGGCTGCACCGATATTGGTTGTCAATAAATTAAACGGTAGCGTTCACTTATGTACAGATTACTCTGCCGGACTAAACGAAGCTCTAGAATCTTACCAGAATTCCTTAACTTAACTTGAAGATCTCTCCGCCAAGCTGAATAGTGGCAAGTATTTTGTAAAATTGGATTTATCGAGCGGCTATTTGCAAATTCCTGTAGCGAATGAAAGTAAGGATCTCCTAACGATCAACACACATAAGGGTCTGTTTTGATATAACCAACTGTCATTTATAGTAAAGATGGACTCCTCTATTTTCCAGTAAATTATGGATGTCAAGGTAAAAAATATTCCAGGAGCGGCGTCTTATTTGACTGATATCATAATCATGGGAGCAGACAAAAAAGGCTTGAGGAAGACTACTGACTATATGTTAGCACGTATAGTTGTGTATGGTTTTTACTTCTGCGATGAAAAGCATGATTATTTTGTGCAACAGATGCGATACCTTGGTATAATGGATAAAGATGGGATACGACCAGACTCAGAGAATATAGAAGATATAACAACTATGCCTACTCGACGGTCTTTTTATAGTTTGGTCAGTCATTACGGAACTCTTCTTCCTGATCTTCAATGTCTGTGTACCCGGCAGAATTGTTTACTAACAAAGAATACCAAGTGGATCTGGTCAACAGAATGTCAGGAATCATTCTTGAAACTAAAATAGCTCCTATCGTCAAATCTTCCATTTATACACTAGGATCCAGTCATTCTTATTGTGGTAGCAGTAAATGCATCAAATTATGGAATTGGGGCAGTGGTTCCATATATCTACCCTACTGGATCTGAGAAAGCAATTGCCCACGCCGCATGATCACTAACAAAGACAGGAAGGATTTGTAGTCAGATAGAGACGGAAGCCTTCTCCATTGTCTTTGCTGTAAAGACCTTTCACATGATGCAGTTCGGCAGACAGTCGTCGTTACTAACAGACCACAAGCATCTACTAGCAGTTTTTGGATCCAAGAAGGGTATACATGCTTATACAGCAAGCCGTCTACAAAGATGGGCAACCACACCTCAGGGGTACGATTTTGAGATAAATTATCAACCGGCAACGGATTATGAACAGGCAGATGCTTTCTCGAGAATAATTGGCTCCGATTCATTTTCACTAAAATCTAGAAATACCTGAGCGTTTTGTATTGTTTGAAATACGATTCCTTCCAACTAGTATTCTGACCTGCGATTCGGAGGGGTTCAAGCGTTCAAGTGCTCAATTTGTAGGCGGTATAGCAAGAAATATTTAGGCTACAGACTTAACAGTTATTAATCAAATTCCTACTAATGTGCACTCTTTACAGAGCGTCACCTTGAGGTAGGTAAACTAATGAAGACACTTAGGAACAATAATGTTTTATAAATCAACAGAAAAAGTCATACTGAATATTAACTTGTTTCTCCTCAAAATCTTAAAAAACAATCACCATCTTAGGATAATTGCATTTTCATTAACTTTCTACTAAATCTTATCATCTTAATTTCAAAAATGTACTTAAAAATGCAATCGTGATACTTAAGCATAGTGGGTAGTCAGAAATAACCTTTGAACCTAAATTTATTTGGTATTCATAAACAAGATATGCCATCAATTTTGAGCGAAATAATGATGAGTGATGAAATTAAAATTGCTCTGTCCAGTTCTCTAATCTCAGTGGTTGGCATTGAGATTTTCGGGTATCAACTATCATCCTTTAGTACCGAGATGTTCATGATAATTGGTCACTGCGTAGCATTCAATGTCACACTTCAACATAACTTAATATTGTACAAATAAAACAAACCAAGAGGTAACATCAGTGTTTTTTTAGCTGAAAAGTAAATTAGGAAAAACACTGACAGTGTATAGAATATAAACAGAAGAAATTGTCAAACTGTATTATAAAGGAAACCCTAAAATAGAATTCTGGAGGTAAAAGGAAAAGAAAATGAACAAAGAATACATTGATACACGAATCGGAGGTAGACATCAAAGGAATGAAGAGAAATTGAAAACAATAGAAAAGGTGAGCTCTGGACAGAGACCTGATTGGAAGCCTACACCCCTCCACGAGGTGTAACAGGCGTAAGTTAAGTAAACGATAACGTCTCAGAATATGAACTTCGGGGAAGGTCGTTCGAGTACAACACTGACAATCATCTCGCTCAAGATTGATGATTCACAGGTTTTAACCACCACAAAAGCTAGGTTCATGGTTACTTGATGAGAATCTTCAGTCATCTAAGATTTTTAATCACTTAGACTAATAGGCATATTTTAACTAGATTGATAGTATCCGATTAGGATTAATAACTAAACTAGCGCAAATTCAGGTTATACTCCTTAACTGTCTAATTTGTTATAAGTTGTTGGAGTCATAATGGTTTTATCTTAATACCTGATTAATATTATAAAAACATAGAAATGCTATATGCATATTCTTAAAATGTTATTCTGTTGTAGAGGCAGTTACTCACTGAAAACGATGGTGCACGGTCGTTCAATATCATGGATTGATTGAAGTTAGACATTAACACTGTAGGATGCCAACTCAATGGTCAAGAGGCGTTAGGCATTCGCTTGCGAAATCGAAAGTCTTGGCTTTGTGTCTCGTGTGTGAGATCATCTATACGCACTGCTAAAGAGTGCCATATTAGGATGAAACGGCCGTTTAATGCTTTAACCTGACCGCTGTTGCTACCTTGACGTGGTGGTCGGGCTTGCCTATCGTGATGAAGCAACCGAGCTATAATGGCTGGAACAACCGTTCCTCAAGATCCTACCATATCAGACAGGTCGGTTGAAGTGCGGTAAGACAAAAGCAACGAACTCAAGGTCCGAAGGCGAAGTCGTACTGCTGACCGTACAGAGGTGTGGCAGCAGTAAGGTGTTTCCTTCAGGCAACCAGCATGACAGAGATGCTGCCTTCCCACAAAGAGGGGTGGGGTTAGAAAAGGTCGACCCTAAAAATGCACACCCCGCTTTATCCTACGGATATCCGTCTCCAGCGGTAAGGTCTCAACAAGTACGGAGCTAACACAAAAATTACTCATAAAAAGGCCGTATGTGAGCGACCACAAGCAGTCGTTCCTTGGGCATTGCGGTCACGCTCTCAGGTCACCAATTCCACCTATAATCCAATTTCCTTTTCAGGTGCCTCCAGAAGAACCCTTCCACGGTGTGGGCAACTGGGAAGTGATAACCGCCCTCATACCTCTAACAGCACTCAAGACCACCTCTTAATGCTTTAATACAACAAAACTATGTTACGAAACAATTTGAATCAAGATGACTGTTTTTTTCATAAAGAAACAAATAATTTATTTCGTTATTTATGTTAGTTTATAACAAAGTATTAAATTCAGAAACTATTTTTTTTGTTTAAACTTGAAAGAAGCAACATTATAGTGACATTTTGTCCACTTTTTTGTACGATACATTATAATTTAGTCATATAAATAAGAATTTGAATTATTCAGATCATAAGTCAGTTAAAGCTAGATCACTGTGGAAAATCACCTGGAAGCACTAGATAACCATTTCGTCTTATTGCACGACTCCACACCAGCGCACATCCACCAACCCACCTCATGAGAATCGAACCCAGGACTTATTAGCCTTGTACACTAACGTTTAACTTCTAAACCGCTAAACAATCCTATCATAAGACGAAACAGCTATCTAGTGTTTCCAAATTTTCCCTAATAGTCTAACTTCGAGTGATTCATGATTTCAACTATTAAAGTTACTGTAATATCTACAAACAAACAAAAAAATCCCTTCTGATATAAATAAGAATTTATAAATAAAGTTATAATTACATATCAATCAAGAAATATAAGTTTAGGGGTTGTGCAGATTGTTAAGTTCTTGATTGCGATCATGAACCGATTGGTGTTAGACCACCATTGAAAACCTGGAAGCACTAGACGGTCGTTTCGTCCAATTGTGGGACTCCTCAGCAGTGCGCATCCACGATCCCGCCTGCGGGATTCAAACCCAGGGCCCTCAGTCTCGCGCGAGAACGCTTAACCTACTGGATCACTGAGCCGGCATCCAATGGTGTTAATGTCTAATCTCAACCAATCGTGGATGCACACTGCTGAGGAGGAGTCCCACAATAGGACGAAACGGCCGTCTAGTGCTTCCAGGTTTTCAATGGTGGCCTAACATCAATCAGTTCATGATCTCAATCAACAAGAAATATAAGTTAATACAATACAATATAATATACAATAAAAGTTACATAGTTAGTTATTAATGCACCGGATATATAGTAGGATTAATATTTAATTCCTGAATATCATTTTGATTATGTAATCGATCATTAGAACTATCATTAAATTGATGAAATTCACAATTTCGATGTATATTATTATTATTATTATGTAATGAGGTTTGAATATTGATTATTTCTAATTTCTCATTCGATTTAATCAATGATGTTTCAGAATTAATCAATGAATTATTTGAATTTTTCAATGTATTTAATTTTTCATGATTATCATTATTATTATTATTATTATTATCGATTTCCAATGAAATCAAATGTTGATTAGTTTTAAATAATTGATTAGATTCAATAGAATTTTCTAATTTTAAATTACCCTCTAAATTACCTTGGATACAATTTGTATTGATTTTTATATTTGAATTTAATAATGTATCATTTTCTTTTAAATCAATATTTATTGATTTATGAATAGGATTAGAGATCATTGATAAACGATTTGATTGACATGATGATAAACTATCCGTTTGATAATGTTCATTTATTGTTGTATGAGTTGGACAAAATAAAAATCCAGATTCACCAGATGGAAATCTAACTATTAATGGTGTAAGACATGATGATAATTGATTGATTGATTGATTAGTAGTATCCTGTGATAAAGAATCAATTGTAGAACTATTTCTAAATGTATAATTTGTTAAATCTTGATGAGTTCGTTTTTCTGTTATTAAATGACATGTTTCATCATTTTCAATATTATTTGAATGAGATAATTCAATATTTGTACATGATTGACGGTCTTTTTCTTGAGTAGATTGTGAAGTACTACGTTGATATATACTATTGGTATTACTATTTGATTGTGTAAATGGATGATATTGTTTCGATTGTTGTTGAAGATCAACTTTTCTTGTTAATTTATCAGATTGTTCACCTGTACTTAAATATTGCATACGATAAGTTGAATAAGGATTTGGTGATACAATGATATGATTTGGTATAATTACACCATTTCCATTTGTTGTATCAGTTAAACTAGTTGAATCATTTGAATATAATAATGATCCATTTAAACTACCATTTTGACCAGTAATAGTAATACTACCATTTTGAAAACAACATTCAGATAATAGAGGATGATGATGATAATTGGATTGTTTAGAATAATTAACCGATTGTGAATGAAATAAATTTGTTCGTTTTATTGAAGTTGGATCTGATTCTAATGAAACACCAGAACTACTTTGACCATTCTGTTTATGATATTTGAATAAATCATCTGGATTCATTGTTGATGAATTACTAATTAAATGATGAAATGTTGGAGTTGTTGATTTATATGAAACATTTGTATTATGTGTTGTTGATAATGGTAGAATGGATGTAGTTGATTGAAATAGATTTGGTAACATCATATTACTATTTATAGGTGGTAATAAATGATTATTTTCATTCTGTGTATAATGTCCAGATTTATTATGATATAATAAGACAGATTCTGTTAAACTATCATCAATTTGTGTAGAATAATTCATGAATGTTGTATTAGGTTCAATGATTTGTCCAACATGACATGATGTCATTAATAATGGTTGATGATTCGATACATCCAATGATTTATTCATAGATGTTGACATGTTTAAATTAGATTTGGTTTGTATACATAATACACATTTTAAGTAGGAGTTTACTTTTCCATGTTGGGCATCATCTGAAAACATTTCAATGATTCAAGATAAATCTATTAATGATATAGAATTAAATTGGCGGTATTTTGATATGAAGTTATCAGTGAAATGATTACTTTGAACTGGTATATATTAATCTAGTTATATGAATAAGTTGAAGTTAAACATTAATACCGTTGGATGCTAGCTGGTTCAATGATCGAGATCGATAAGTCCTGAGCTTGAATCTTGTGAAATGAGATCGTGGGCGTACACTGATGAGAAGTCTTATGCTAGGACAAATCGGCCGTCCAGTGTTTCCAGGTGGTCTTCCATAATGGTCTAACCTCGATTGATTCATAAATTCAATGATTAAATTACTAGTTATTATATCTTCATGTACTTTTCAATTTGAGGTATCTCCACTTCTATTTATATAAATAATCAATAAATTGTGCCATATAAACTTAAAAACTCAAATCCTGAATAATGAAACTCCTTTGATAGCTAAAATAACGTTATTTTTCCTACACAGAGTTTAAACAAGAATACACTGTGATATAACGTGTGATTTACAATATTTTTTTTCCTCCCTTACACGTATATTAAGGTGATACTTTAATACGTTTATAAGACTAATCATGTTGTATTAGAATCATGATTCGCGATCCGAAATAGACAATCGGTATAATACTAGAGAATACTTTAGTCAATCTGATTACAAGTAATCGCACACAGTGAATTCAGAATGAAAATCAATAATAAGAAGGAACATCACATATATTCATTGTTTGTTTGAGAATGAAATCATATGAGTTTTGCTAAATCCGGTTATACTATTCGAAAAATTAACACAGCGAGATGTCTAAGCCGTGTTTGGGCTGATCAATCATTATCTGGTGAAGCCAGTTGACTTCTTTGGAAATAATTTTCATTTCACAAGGCTCACAAATACACCACGTGGATGTGATTTTGTGAGAAAATCATTACTCCCATTTATTGGCGCACAAGCGTCGCAACATGGACAAACATAGTCTACATGCATACTGGTAACACATAAGTTTTCATCTATGGATGCCTTGGCGTACACATAAGTATACTGACCTTGTAAGAGAATATACGTTACATGCACACTGGTATCACATAAGTTTTCCCTCATGAATCTCATAACATATGTATTTATATATTCAATCACTTGGGAGGATAGATAATCACCACTCTCTTTGGACGCATTTGCTACGCCTAGATGTTACTTATGCATCACATGTATATCATCGGTATAAAGACGGTTACTTCTTCACTTCTTGACATACATATAAGCATGAGCACTCTTTCAGGAAACGTTGATAGTCACCTCTTTCTAGTATTTGTTACCATATTTTTTATTGTCTTTCACCTAAAAGATTAGGCCGCTGATTTTATTGGACATATGAGGAAGGGGCAGATCACGTCCTTAGTGCCAACCTAGACGCATACCCTTTGGATAAACCTTAACACATAAATCACATGAGCCAAAACTTGTGAAGTTCACAGATATAAGCATACACATCGAGCAGCTCGCAAGATTTCAGAGAACCTCTAGAATGAAACTCAATTAGTCTAGTTTACAGAAGAGTGGTGGATAAGTCCGATCTCTTCCAACCGCTCAGGTTAGTTAACAAGTTGTTCCTACTACCCAGCAGCACCGTGGTAATACTTTAGATCGGATATCAGTGTAGTATTTTTGTCACAGGTTTCACTATTTAACATTGAATTATCTATCGAAAGCATATTATGTAGTGAAGCTTTATAAAGTCATCGTTTACTACAGATGTCCAAGTTGTCCAATTTATCTTAGAAATACTATTTTCACATATATATTAGTTTGTTTTTAGGTTTCAAATTACAGAGAAATAAAGCTGCAGTTAAAATGTCACGTTTAATACTAGAAACTTTTCAGATGAAATCTTAAAAGAGAAACAAACTAACCACATATAAAATACTTATGTTTTATATCCTATAAACATTGTGAACAGTTTGTTCTTTCAGACCTTAACTCACCTAACAACCAATTAGAAATTACTGTTTGATTTTGTCCGGAAGCTTAAAAAATCCTAATGTTTGACATTAGCTTGTGAACACTATTTTATTCAAAGTATGAGACGTCATATAATGTTTAGGATTTAATATATCTGGATGATCAGTATAGGGTTGTGCAGATTATTAAGTTATTATTATTGAGATCTTGAACTGATTGATGTTAGACCACCATCGAAAACCTTGAAGCACTGAACGGCCATCTCGTCCTACTGTGGGACTCCTCAGCAGTGCGCGTCCACGATACAATGGAAGATGGTCGCTCAGTTTTGTAGATTGGTTGGGGTTAGATATTAACACCGTTGGATGCCGGTTCAGTGGTTCAGTAGGTCTAGCGTTCGCGCGTGAGAATGAAGGCACTGGGTTCGAATCACGTAAGCGAAGTCGTGGATGCGCACTTTTAAGGAGTCCCACAATAAGAGGAAACGACCATCCAGTGCTCACAGGTTTTCAATTGCGGTCTAACATCAGTCGGTTCAAGATTTCAATCAAGATCTGAAAGGACACCAATACTCTGGGTATTTATTAACTGAAATTTTATTAAATGCCTTTTATTCACCTATATGTATTTGGATGAATAAGTTAGTATGAAATTGATTTACCTAAATAACTCTTCAATAATAAACATCGAATTATTAAAATAATATTGACGATCAGAGAAATAGCCAATATTCCAATCAAACTGAGTACCAATTCAGGTCGAGTCACTATAAAGAGAATAAAATATAAGATAAAAGTATAGGAAAACATGAATGACTTCATTATAAACACTTATCTATTATTTAAATTAAAGTACAAAGTAAGCATGTCTCAAACATAATTTGGCTTCCCATTCAGTAGAAAGTATTTGATGATAAATGTTCTTTCATTTAATTAACGTAACGTAGTGTAGAAGCGATGGGCCGCCTATGCTCTTTCATGAAAAGTAACAGGTGTAAGTGAACAAGTAAGTGTAGAAGCGATTTACAAATTAAAGTCATTAGTCGAAATGTAGTGTTCCAAAATAGATTAGACGGTATAATGAATTCCATTCAGTAAAGTACATTCTAAATACCGATTTGTTCTCTGAGAGATAATAAACTAAACCACTAAGTAACTTCAGTTTAATATTATGGGAGAACTTGTGTTCACATTGTACCGTAGATTGGTTTAGTAAAACAAATATACTTCTAACTTGAAATGTGTACTTTTGAATATGTCTTTAGAATATATGTTCACCTCACACTAAAGTCATTTATACGGCACTGTTAAAATGATACCATAGGGTATTAGATCCATCTAATGATGAACTAATACGAAGTTGATAAGAGAATATGTTTCTTTCTAATCTAACTAGGAATTGAGATTTAGATGGTGGTTGGAGGTAGTCAACAGGAAACCCTGGACCCGGATGTCGAGTCACCTAGACTGGTGGCCACATTGCAACATGATCGATAGCATTCGATCTGCACTAATAAGGAATAGACAAGCATGACATTGATCACCACCCAGTGATCAATCAATTGCGACTAACTAGGAATTATTATGTGGTATTATGAGGTAGATTTTGCAAATACTGTAAAAGTCGAATAGTACTAATTCACCGTATCAATAGTACTTGTGTCAGTGGTTCTAAAAGGTTAAAGTATGTATTTGAAAGTTTTATGTTTATAACAGTTGACTTGCTTATTGAGATATACGCAACCTTATATTCCAGTAAAAACCAAACAATCTATCATATTACTATTCATAGATGTCCTAGCTTAATTAACCCAAATTGTCTAGATGGTATACTTCGATTACACTTCAGGATGATCAGTTTACTTTCTGATAAATTCCGTCATCGATTTCTGACTTCTATTAAACAGCATTATATTATTCACATTCTATTCAAACTTCATACTGAAAACATCAAGAACTATTTACATAAACTTCGAGATTTATTGGGTAAATCAAAAATCGATAAGTGAACATGATTGTCCAAGAAAAGGCTTTAATTTCTAGAGAATAATGCTTTACAAAACTAATCCACCGATAATATATAAGTTCACATCGTTGTTGATTCACTTATGACAATAAACTCTATCTTTTCACGCGAGTAGCCAATTGATTCGTACATAGAAAGATTAAGTATCATATTCAACTCTCAAGGATTAGCAAAGCAAGGACAGTGTTCCTACAACTGAAGAATATGTGGAATGCAAGATAACTGTTACTCAAAATCAAAGTCAGAATCTTCATTATAAAATTCAAGACAGTTCTACTGTACGGAGTTGAAACTTGGAGAGCTACTACAACTATCAAAAATGCACAGGCATTTATCAACAATTGTCTACACAATATCCGTTGGTTGGATAATATCAGCAACAACCTACTGTAGGAGAAAATAAACCAGCATTAACTGAAGAGAAAATTAGGAAAAGACGTTGACGGTGGATAGGACATACATTGTGGAAATTTTCAAACTGTATTACAAAGAAAATCTTAAAATGGAATTCTGGAGGTAAAAGGAAAAGAGAATGAACAAAGAACACATTGATACGAGAATTAGAGCTAAACATCAAAGGGATAAATAGAATTCTAAAACAACAGGAAAGGAAAGCTCATAACGGAATTGATTGGAGAAACCTGATTAGCGGCCTATGCTCCTCTATGAGGTGTAACAGGCGTAAGAAAAGTAAGTAAGTGGTCAAGTTACGGATACCTCACTTAATAACTACTATAACTATAAAAGCCTAGAGCGATATATATATATATATATATATATATATATATATATATATAAAGTCGTAAATGGAGATCATATGTAGAAAGTAATATCAGCTATATTAAATTTGCATGACTATCTGATGCGTGGGCGATGATGATTTCTCAGGATATACATTTTTTCAGGGTCGTGTATAGTGCCTTTTTCATCTTTGACCGTATCTAGAGAGCATACGGTCTTGATTGTATGATGCAGTGTCTTAATAAGGTTCCATTTGTATTGCAGAGGAACAAAACTAAGAAAGTTTACATATTGTTTATGTTTCTTCTTAGTGATCCGTTTTTTCTCCTTGCAAGTAGAACATATAGAAACGCTATTCTATCCCCATTTTCCTTCTCACATGTGAATTTTGTGGACGGGTGAACTGTATTGAATCGTTTGAGTGTTTCTATGAAGTCCGTATGGTCGTTACAAAGCATAAGTGTATAATCCATTTATCGGCAGTAAAATGAAAAATTGTTGGTCTGTTGTGCCAGTGGGTCGTTTTCTAGTTTAGAGAGGAAAATGTTAGCCAATATGGGACCTAAAGGTGAACCCATAGCAACACCATCTATTTGTCTATAGATTTCACCACTGAATTTGAAATGTACATTCATAGTCCATTTTAGTAGTAATTCTTTGATAATCTCCACAGGAATTATAGTTTCTACTTTATGTTCTTTAAGTTGTTCACAAATATATTCTACAGTTTCTTTGAGTGAGACATTTGTAAACAATGACTTTACGTCAAAGGACATCATCGTTTGACCTGTCGTGTTTATGTTTTTAATCTTGTCAACGAACTGGGATAGATCCTTAATACTATGCTTTACTAGGTGTTTAATGAGGGCTTTTTTCAAACGGTTACTAACACCTTTGCTACAGTATGATAAGGGGAATCGTAAATGTCCAAAATTGGTCTCAACGGGATATCCGGTTTATGTACCTTCGGTAGTGCGTATAACCTAAGTAAATGGGTATCTATCGGCTTAATCAATTCATATTTGTCTGGTGGAATCATTTGTTGATCTCTGAGCTTTTTTAAAGATCTGCTCAGTTCATTCTTTATATTATTATTGACATCATTTTGGTTATTCAGTTTCTGAAATTTTTAGTGATCATTCAAGATGTTATTCATCTTGTCAGTGTATTTTTTGTTAAGCAGGATAGTTTCTGCTCCTTTATCAGGTTTTGTGATAATCAATTGCTCCTATGTAGCAAGTTATATTGACAGATGTTCGAAGAATTTATACATTCGGGCTCGTGAGCACCTCCCAATATGGTTAAGTTAAGGTGTAATCAAAACGGCTAACAGTTCCATTTTGATCCATTCAATTCAGACGGACATATGAATATTTATTCAATACTTTGAATATAAGATTTCAATTATAATAGTAACAATAATCGAAGTTAACTTACATTTAAAATCAAGTAGACGTTGACTTTCTTGTTTCTGTGCCAAACGAATATACTTTTTATCCATAGTGTCATTTTTCAATTCCTCAGTTAAATTCATCAAATTATCTGGGTTTTTTTAAAGAACAAACGATAAATCTTTCATGCGATTTAAACAATTTGCTGTGTAATTCACAATTTAATAATTGGATTCATGAGTCAATTAATGCTAGATCATCATGGAAGACCACCTGGAAGTACCGGATGGCCTTTTCATCCTAGTATGGGACTCTTCAGCAGTGCACATCCATGATTCTGCCCGCGACATTCGAACCCAGGACTTATCGGTCTTGCGCACAAACGCTTAACCTCCAGACTCATGAATTCAACTATTAAATTACTATAATCTCCAAAAGAGTTTATGATTGACAGTCAATAAGCTTATAGACATAAAATTTAACTTTTATCATGCTTTTTATAGAAGTAAATGATTATGGAGCTGTTATTTTTCATACTTATATTCATACATAATATCCCTTAAACAGATTAGTTTGTGTTCGAAATTCCTTGAAAGCGAATTTCTTAAAGACAGTTATTCCAATACCTTCATAAGTTGCATTAAGTTTTGAGTCCTCATTCATGAAGAGAACTTAACTACGACGAAGTATAATAACAGCTGTCTATAAGATATAATATGAGGTATTCAATTCTTAAATGAAATACATTGCTAACCGAATTCAGTTTATGTTAGTGGATGATGAAGAATGACCTCCAAATAACACAAAAGCTTTAGAAGGAAACCTTACTTTGATGCATTGTCTCCATGGTAGCTTCAGCGAAATTATTCGGATTTTTCCTGTTTTCAGTCATTTCACTCTTCGTTGTAATTGAATTGATTTTATTGAATTTAGATTGACTTTTGATGTTTCTGTGAGACTGATTTATAATATCGGTTCTATTTTGTTTCAATAAGCCATTCTTAATCTGAATATCATTATTACTGCTGGTAATATTTTTATCAGGATTATTACTAGCATCACTGATATTTGTTGGAAAAGTTTCTGCAGCCTGTAATTCTAGCGATCTAACTGCCCGTTGTCCACGATATTCACAATTCCATAGGCCAGTATGATCAAGTTGTTCCATATTAATAATATATTGATATTGGAATGTGCTTGCATTGATCCTTTTAAACTGACATCCTTCAATAACTTGCGCTATACTACGTGGTATTGTACAACTATTTTCATTTAATAAACAGTTTGGACTACAGTCCATATAACATATGGAAGTTGAAAGCTGAAATACAAAAACGTAAACCATAAACAAATGCGTATTTAACTTAACTATTAAAATTACTATAATATCTACAAAAACCCCTTCTGATACTAATCAGTATATGCTCACTAGCAACTAACTTCAATAGGTATTTCCTGGAATTCTAGTGAGAAGCAGTGACCAGTGGGGTTCAACCTGGTCTGCTGTGAGATAGCAACTCACCGAAGACAATGGTGGACGGTAGTGCAATTTGATGGATTGATTGAAGTAAGACATTAACACTGTTGGATGCCTGCTCAGTGGTGTAGATGTTAAGCATTGGCGCGCAATACTGTTAAGTTCTGGGTTCAAATCTCGTGAGCAGGGTCGTGGATGCACACTTCTGAGGATTCCCGTACTAGGACGAAACGGCCGTTCCTACTTACAAGTAGACAACGTAACGATAAAATCTTTTGTTTTTCATTTGATTACTTCTTCACAGTGTACAGAAATAACAAATTTTAAGACCGAATTTTGTTGTCGGAAATATTTAACTCAAATTTTGATTAAAATTGGATGGTACCTAGCAGTGGAATCAACGATCACCGATTAGTTCTGTTTAAGACTAGTTAGTTGAATATACCTGCAATCCAGTGTTGATATCCATAGCGAAAATAAATCATAGTACCTTTCACTTTGGATGCCGACACGTTAACTACAGATTTATCGAATTGAGATAAACGTTGGCTTTTTTAGCTGAGCATGATTTCTATTTGTAAGAGCCTAAACATGAATACCTTTTTTGTTATCGAACTGACATTAGCATCTTTAATTCAGTTATCACAAATTCTTTGATCAGTGGAGTTAATCGTTGTAGAGTGTTAGGCATTTACCACTGAAGAGAATGAAAGATAGTCACCCAATGTCGTGGATTGGATGAAACTAGACATAAACATCCTTTGGTCCTGACTCATTAGTTTAAAGATTAAGCGTTTGCACGGAAGACAAAATTTTCTGTGTTAGATTCCTAACTACGGGGTGATGAATGCTCACTGTCGAGTAGCCTCATAAAAAAACGAGACCAGGATCCAATAATTTCAGGTTTTCAATGGTAGTTTAATCTGATCTCATCTTAACTAAAGTGAGTAGTCACTTTACTTTGATATTAGCTGATAATTTACCACTTAACATAGTAGAAAAGTATAACTTGTTTCTAGTAATCATTAGGTTCATAAAAAGAAGTAAGCAAAGATAATGATCTAATAAGAGATCCATGTGAGGTAGAAATCATTTCAATGTACATCACTGAATAACATTTTGTTTAAAATAATTTCACCATTTGATTAGAAGTGTTCGGATTTTAACATTTAAGAAAACGACAAGAATTGAACCCTTACCTATCTATACATATCATTTGCTCATTTACTAAATATTGAGGAGTTTATAAAGTATCCTAATAATTGAAATGTATTTGTTGAATACTTGAATGTTTTCCTACGTTTAACTTCGGATGAATAAATATTTATCAAGTTAAATGTATCCAGATTGAGAAGATAAAAACACATACGTCTTCTTGTTTCAGTGGGGGCTTTTCAAAACATGTACGCCTTAGAGGAGACAACTACCATCACTATTCAGCAGGACGCTGCCTACCAGTTGCTATTCATCCTTTTCATATCTGCTTCCAATTCCGATGCAATATGTTCTTTAGCCTTCCTCTTTTCCGCTTCCCTTCAGGATTTCAAGTTGGGGATCGCCTCTTTATGCAGTTTGGTGATTTGTGTAATCTATGTCCTATCCATTTCCATCGTCGTTTCCTAATTTCCTTTTCAGCTGGAAGTTGGTTCGTTCTCTCCCACAATAAACTGGTATCCGGCCAATGGATGTTGAGTATCTTGCTTTGACAATTTTTTATAAATACTTGCACCTTCTTGATGATGGTTGTAGTTGTTCTCCAAATTTCAGCTCAGTACCGTAGAACTGTCTTGATGTTTGTATTGCAGTCTCTCACTATAATGTTGATTGACAGTTGTTTTGAGCTTCATATGTACTTTAATTGTAGGAGTGCAGCCATTGCTTTGCCAATCCTCGCCTTCATTTCTGCATCTGATCCTCCTTGTTCATCGATGATACTTCTCAGATACGTTAAAGATTCCACATCTTTCAGAGTTTCGCCATCAAGTGTGATTGGATTGCTGATTACAACTAGCTTCTTAAAAAAACTCAATGTCAGTATTAATTTTATAAATACAATTTAACTGATCATTATCCAAAGGAAAGTTTGGTGAGACTATATTTTATGGACGACCTATGAGTGATGCTAAAGTGACCTTGAGAATGTCCACCCAATAACTAGAACCAAATGATGTAAGGAATTATAATTATAATTTACAGTTGCTGATTAAGGTTAAGAATTAAATTTAAGGTTTTCATTACGAACTGACATCAGCTATAATGCCAAAAGTCTATTAATCCAAATGGATGAATGAATTTCACGCCCGAAATCCGAGACCTATTATCTTATACCTGATTAGTTTGTCTATAAATTATAGTCTCACCAAAAGTTTTTTTTTTAATTCTTGTTTATTTTTAAAATAACTTACCTGTGGACAAATTAAATATACCGTACTTGTTGGTTTCATTTCAATTATTGATTCATTGATGAATTGTGTTTGATTATGTATATTTTTGTTACTATGGGAAAAATCAATTTCTTTTATGTTTACTTCACATGTCATTAAACCTTTTCTATCAGCACGAATTCGATAGAATATATTTATAGTATTAGATAGAATAGAATGATCTAAATTAGAATGACTATAATCTATTATACGTTTTAATCGATTTAAAGGCATAGTGTTTCTAATCAACTCATTGGTTTGATATGATAATATTGAATGATAATTTATAACATTTAATAATTGAATAATGATGATTACATAATACATGATGTAATCGATAATAATGAATCGATTCAAGTTACCAAGGAATGTTAATATTCAATTCAATGATAAGTTGGAATTTAAGTGTTCGATCAAATGGATTTTATTCAATCTGTAAAACAAGAGAAAAAATTGAGAAAAAGAGGCTAAATGATTAGACTGTCTTTTTTATTTTATTTTTTATAATACTATTTTATATCAGAAGGGGTTTTGTGAATATCATAGTAATTTTAATAGTTGAGATCATGAGTCGATTGAAGTTAGATCAACTTGGGAAACCTGGAAACATCGAACGGTCATTTCGTCCTACTATGGGACTCCTCTTTGGCAGTGCTCATCCACGATCCAACCTCGCAAGATTTGAACTCCGTAATTTAAAATGATTGAAATAGAATGGACAACAGTTAAAGTTACGTCATATTATAAATTGACATCAATATGTAGCGTGGTGTGTGTTATTTAAATCGACATAAGTAGTATATAAGGCTAGTCAGGAATAGGATGTCTGACAGCCGAAGGTCAAGAAGATCGATTGGGTAAAATAAACGGTAACAAAGAATGATTGGTGTGGTAATGAAGGAACAGTGAAGTTTTAGACAATTAATTGACATTTTGCAAATGAAGTATTTGCTGTATAGTTCTTAGATTTTACTAAGAGATTCTGTAAATTTGTGTTCAAATACTTTCGATTGTCCCGATATGTGTTCTTGTTCCCTACAGTGGGACTGTTTAATGAGAATCAAACTGTGTACTTTTAGATTTTATAAAGTAGGTAACAAAATGTGTAAGTACTATTTCGCATCACTGAACAACATTGGTAACATGGTTGTGTAAATAATTAAGCATAAATTTATATGTTTTGATCTTTTACATACGTTCATATTATTTTCTCCTTCAAGAAACATTAACGACCAAGTGAATTTTACCATAGCTCTCAATTAAACATACCACAAGTAGTGAATCTGAGTATAGATGACTGGATATAATGAAACTGATTTCAGTGATGAACGAGTTTATTCATCTAACAAAACTGTAAACATGACAGAGAAAACATTAGAGTTTTAATGAGCAGCAGTGAGGCAATTAGGTACCTCAGATAATAAATGATTGTTGCACAATGTCGAGAATTGATCTATATGTGATATATAAACCATTGGATGCCGGTTCAAAGATTTTAAGTTTAAGCTATTTCCAGCATATCTTAAGATTTTAGGTTTAATCTATAATGGAATTGTGGTTGCACTTCACCGGGGAGCTTTATACTGGGATAAAAAATACTGTCTAATGCTTCTTGATTTTCATTGGTTAACTAACCTAGGTAAATTCATTATCTCAGTATCATGGTTACTAATTTATTCTCCTTATTTTCATACAATATAGAATAAAATGCACCTTTATGACTGATAAAAGTTTAATTAGATTATTGATTTCAGTAACCAGTTATGACTAGTTTTTATTGATTATTTCAAATGTCAATGTTCTACTAGTTACGGTTACTTATTGAAAATAAAGGCTGTACCAGAAACAAAAAAAACACAATTGGTAGTTTAATAAGTTAAAGAAATATGTGTGAAAACTATACGTTGTATATCTTTATTAGATTGAAATAGCTGGAACATAATATTTCGCTTATGACAGCTATACCAATATAGTCTAATCCATAAAACAAAATACAAAAGTAAAATCTTATCATAAATCCACTTGGTATTGTTTGTCTGAATCTTCTCATTGATGTTTAGAACTGAATTTGATGAGTCTCTTAATGGCATATGTGCATATTGTACAGATTGCCTTGATATAGACTTAAGTCACAAGCATTCTAAACAAAGATCAATAGTGGTTAGCAGTGGAATACAAGACGCGTGTTTCGTTCCACTTGTAACTAGTCTATTGGATTAACCTGAATCTTAGAGTTGATGTTCATTCTGAGATTCAAACCCAGTACCGTTTGCTTCAAATGCCATCGCGTTTTTCATTAAGCTACTGAGTCCTGATAGCCACTTTGCATAGGAAAATCTTATCCTCTTGGAATAAACACATGAGCTACATTTTACATTCAGGATTGGTTTACAAAATGGTATTTATCTACTATGACAAATAACAGTTCGTATTGTAGATATCATCATTAAGGTTTGATTAGGCATTGGTTAGATAGTTATAAATAAAAATAATATTTATTTGTAGATAACTCAATGAGTAGAAAAATTAAATTCTCCGACATTTTGTGACTCAATCTAAGTCATTGAATCAGGATTGCCTTGATAATGCCATTAGGTTATTAGGATTTTAAACAGAGTTAAATAGTATCTGGCAATGGAATCTTGGAAGTGAGTTTCGTTCTGTTTGGGAGTCGTCATTTGGATATACCTGCACCCTGTTATTAATGTTCATACCGTGACAAAACCTGAGTTCAAGTCTTGATGTGTGCATATTCAAATTAATGCTATAACAATCGAAACAATAACTGTATCTTTGTCATTTTTGGATTTTTGGAACCAATAATATTTCATAATCAAATAAGTATTATTATAGGATGTTATGGAAATTGTTATGTAGCACAGATCTACTTGATTGTGACAAATAATTGAAAACAGGAAGATATTAGTAATGTGTTTGATCCTGATATAAAATTTCTCAGCTGTATACAATCACTATCCTATCAAGCACTGAGCTCAGACCTTACAGGTCTTTCAATGAATTAAGTTTGTTTGTATGAATTTGATTAACAGTCAGTTTTCTTTTAATAGTTGCGATCATAAGTCAGTTGAAGCTAGATCACCATGGAAAACCTGGAAGCACTGAATGACCGTTTCGCCCTACTGTGGGACTCCTCAACAGTGCGTATCCATGACCGCGCTTCGTGAGATCCAAGGACCTATCAATCTCGCTCGCCAGAGTTTAAACCCTAGACCACTCAGACGGCATCCAACTGTGTTAATGTCTAACTTCAACCAATCCACGAGATTGATCGGCACATCCACCATTGTTATCAGTGAATTACTATCTCACAACAGACCAAGTCAGTTTTATTAGAATTGTAACCTAATAAAAGAATAATTTACAGCTAATATAGATAGGTAAAATATATTTTACCTCCTATATTTCAAGTGTTGACTTGTATGTTATTTGCAAATACATATATCCTTTGAACATGACAGCTACCTTATCGATGGCTTCCATCTGACACTCATTGATATAGTCATTTTTCAATGTCTACATATTCAGTCTTAATTATTACGCCACACATTCAACTTTTTTTTAAAAAAAAAAACACAAAAAGAACACAACTGATATTCAATACTATTCATGTCATCTATCAAAAATGTCATGTCAATTATATGGATATACACTGGTAAACTAATTTATGCAAACATTTTACAACCAAATGATAATCTTTCATTTAATATACAATAATAAGATAACATTTATATACGATTGTCTGTAACCATAGTGATAGTAGTACTTCTTTAAGATTCAGTAGAAAACTCCAATAGCTTCAGGGGGGGAGGTGAGAAATAAAACGTCACTATATAGCGTTCTGTATGAATGAAATGTTTTTTTATGTAGGAAAAAAATATTAATAATGGTAAATATGTATTTGACCATAATGAAAAATACAAAAATATTACGTCATAAGTAATAGTGTAAATCTTGATTGATGTCTGTATATCCTGCTGTTTTTCTCTAATTATAATCATCATTCTCTATTCAGGAATCATTGTTGTATACGAGAATTGAATTTTCTTACTGTATTCTTATAGTATTTCATTCATGTTACAGTATCTTTGTTTGTAATGAAAGAAGCAATGTGCTCAATTGATTATATCACCTATTTTTTTCTACGATGTAAACGAAACTGAACATTAAAGTAAACAAAACAGACTACCAGTTAGAGTAAATTATGTAAGATAACAATAGAGTAGTTAGTAATACTTATCTAGTGATTAGTTATCTTCGGTATCATCACATGATAATCTTGAAGCGGTTATTTTAAGTAAATAATGTTATCACCTTGTTGAATTATAAAATAAATGATAATAAGAACGCGATGGCATTTGAAGTGAACGGTACTGGGTTCGAATCTCAGAGTGAGCATCAACTTTGAGATTCCGGTACATCTAACTGACTAGTTACAAATGGAGTGAAATGCGCGTCCTGTATTCCACTGATAACCACTATTGAACTTTGTTTAGAATGCTTGTGACTTAGATCTATATCAAGGCAATCTGTACAGTATGCACATATGTCATTAAGAGACTTATCAATTGCAGTCCTAAATAACAATGGGAAAGTACAAGTAAAACAACACCAAGTAAATTTAAGTGATAATGTGTTTTGTATAAGTTAAATATTCAGAGAGAATGGAAACAATAGCTCAGTGATGTCTGTTTTTTATCGACACTGTCTTATTCACATGATTCGTTTCATTTCTTAGTAGTTCAAAATGACTTTAAGATTTAGTTGAAGGTCAGTAACCAGAAGTGTTCTCATGTTTTATATATGTTCGTTAATCCAGGAATGACAGTGATGATATATACACTGATTTTTTTCATATTACTCATCATGAAGAGAAGTAGGGTATTACAAATAGAGCTACATATATCGGTAATATTCTTTACTTATATGTTTGATGTGAGCTTTGGAGTATTGCTGGTCATCAATGCTTGGACATACTGATAGTGTCATGTCAGCTACTTATATCTACATAAATAGTATATAACAATAGTCAGGAATGAATGAACGGGGAAGGGAACGGAAAGCAATTGGTATGAAAACACAGGAACAATGAAATCTGAGACGATGGAGTGAGATTTGCAAATGAGACAGTCAAGTTTAAGACAACTGACTGATATTTCTCAGATTATGTATATACTGTATCTTCCTCAGATTTTAGTGAGATGTTCTGTAATTTCATAAGATGGTGGTTGGAAGTAGTCAACAGGAAAACCTGAACCCGGGTTTCGTGCTACTTGGCACTCGTCGGCAAGGTGTACCTGTAATCTTGAGGGAACTGGTGCTCCTTGACAGACTCGATCCCGTGTCACCCAGCTTCACATTCAGAGACGTAACCACTGGGCTATCCGGGCCGCGACCAACCTCCTGTAGGACTGT